TGGCTGTCATGGATCTTGTTTTAAACCCTGATGTAATTGGATGTGTCGAATTTGAATCCAATTTGCAGACAGTGGTGTTACTCAGCGAGTGAATAAAATTTTTCTAGTTTTCTTAAAGAATCAACTCGAATACGAGGAAAATCAATGAACATTTTTACTAAACTTACGCTGATAGACTGACTAAAATTTACATCGATTTTTCTCATCTTCGAGCCGATTTTTGAGGAAAAGCGATCAACATTTTAATCATCCACTGAGTAACCCCAGTTGTTTGCAATTTTGAATCGAGTTCAACTCAATTTTAATTTATTCTCATTGGGTCGAGTGAACTATCATGGAATTCGCCTTAGTATTCCCATTAAGTTTTCCTCACAATTTTCAAAGAATTCTCCCCATAAAAACTTTTCAAAATTATTCTTAAAATTTACCGGAAATTCTCATCTTAATCCCATTGGAATTATCCTTAGTATTCCCTAAGTATTCTTCCGAAATTGCCATGATAGGGGAAATGGCTCTAATGCTGGCCTATGGATCTAAGATTGGGCCCATCGATTAAAATCTGCTATTTATCAATTTTATCTAGATGAACGCGTCATTGGGACGGTACTAATGGATATTTTTGGTCGCTATTGAAAATTTAGTCGATTGCATCCGAAGCATGAAATCCAACAAGGCTCCAGGGGTCGATCGCATATCAGCAGAGATGCTCAAAGCTGACCCCATGCCTATTCTGTAATATCTGGGACACTGCGACTTTTCCGGCCGACTGGATGCAGGGCATCTTAGTGAAGGTCCCAAAGAAGGGGGATCTGACTGTGTGCGACAATTGGCGAGGCATCATGTTACTGTGTATTGTTCTCAAAGTTCTGTGCAAAGTTATCCTGAATCGGATACAGGAGAAGATCGACGCGACTCTCCGACGGCAGCAGGCAGGATTCCGTGCCGGAAGATCTTGTGTGGACCATATTGTCACGCTCCGCATGATCCTGGAGCAGGTCAATGAATTCCAAGAGTCCCTTTATTTGGTATTCATTGACTACGAAAAAGCTTTCGACCGTCTCAATGACGAGAATCTGTGGGGTGCCCTGAGACGCAAGGGAGTCCCGGATAAAATCGTCAACCTCATCGAAGCGCAGTATAAGGCTTTCACGTGCAGAGTTCTGCATAACGGAGCCTTGTCCGACCCTATCCGGGTAGTCGCTGGTGTGAGACAAGGATGTATACTATCACCGCTACTGTTTCTCATCGTAATCGACGAGATCATGGTAGGTGCAATTGACCGTGTACCTAACAGTGGGCTGCTTTGGCAGCGTATCACCATGGAGCATCTCAACAACTTCGATTTGGCTGATGATGTTGCTCTACTAGCACAACGGTGCTCTGATATGCAGAGTAAGCTCAATAAACTAGCCGAACGCTCCTCTGCGGCGGGTCTCACCATCAACGTCAACAAGACCAAATCGTTGGATATCAACACGGGCAACCCTTCCAACTTTACGGTAGCGGGGCAAGCAGTGGAGAAGGTCGAAAGTTTCCAATATCCTGGCAGCCAAATAGCGTCGGACGGCGGAACCAAGAGCGACATAGGTGCACGAATCAAGAAGGCTAGGGCTGCCTTTGCGAGTTTACGAAACGTATGGAGATCCAACCAGATAAGTCAACGCACCAAAATCCGAATTTTCAACTCGAACGTGAAATCTGTGTTGTTATACGCCAGCGAGACGTGGTGTGTATCAGCGGAGAACACTCAAAAGCTGCAGGTCTTCATCAACCGATGCCTGCGGTATATAATTTGTGCCTGGTGGCCTCACAACTGGATCTCGAATGCCGAGCTCCATCGTCGATGTCATTAGAAGCCGATAGCAACAGAAATTCGAGAGCGAAAGTGGAGGTGGGTCGGCCACACTTCGACGGGGCGGAAACAAAATCTGCAAGCAAGCGCTGGATTGGAATCCGGCAGGACATCGCAGCAGAGGCAGACCCAGGGGCTCATGGCGGCGGAGCCTCAATAAGGAAATTAAGCAAGTCGATAGGAATCTGACCTGGGCCCAGGTCAAGGCAAAAGCGAGCAGCCGCCCAGGATGGAAATCTTTCACGTTGGCCCTTTGCACCGCTGGTGGTGCACAGGACCCTTAAGTAAGTAAGTGAATTTATGTATGGGCCCAAATTAGGGGCATTTAGGCCGACATTACATCCATTTTCCCTATATTTATTTGTTTACGTTTTGCCTATCGGATGAGTGCCTTGAAATCGTCCGGGAGAAAGCTATCACCAAGGATATGTGGATCAGTTTAAAAGCTACTTTTGCCAAGAAATCCGTTGCCAGCCAGACGATCATACGGAAGCAACTGGCTCGATTGCGAATGCAGGCAGAGGCGGATATGAGGACTCATTTGCTGGAATTCGGCGGACTAGTGCGGCAATTGAAGACTGTCACGGCAATGTTTGGAACGTCCATCTCATCGTCAACAGTCGATCAAGGAAGAGAGTATTGCTATACGAATCAGATGCTGATCTACAAGAGAAAGCGTATCCAGTTGGAAACGACAATTGCTTACAATCCCCAGCAGAACGGTGTGGTGGAGAGATTCAACCGAACCTTGATTGAAAAATGTTCGTTCTGTGCTCATCGAATTCATGGTCCCGAAGCGTTTGTGGTCAGTTATTGTCATTTCATGGATGTAACGGAACTACTTCAAGAGAATTATGTGTGGAATTTAGAGGAAATGCCGAAGATAATTCCTTGGGAATTTTTTAGGAAATTAGTTAGTGAGTGCTAAGGAGAGTTTATTTCAAGAGATTTTTTGAGAAATTCCTAGGTAATACAGCGACCCTAATTAATAATGTTAGGAGAGTTTGTAAGAATCTAAGGGATTTTAAATAATTCTAAGGGATTTGTGAATGTGAATTTGTGATCTGTGATTGAGAATTCTAAGATTATTGTGAATAGAACTCTATGAGAAGAAGGATAATCCAAAGAGAATTCTGAAAATAGTTCAATGAAAGCTCTGAGGATTAATTCCAAATAATTTTCCAATTAAGTTTTCAGGTAAATTTTAAAGGAATACTTAGGAGAGTTCCAAGGCTATTCCGTAATATTTTTTAAAGAACTCAAAGAAGAGTTCCTTAAAAATTCTGGGGATAATTTCATGGATTTTACGAGAGTACTCCAAGAGAATTCTGTGTGGAATTTAGAGGAAATTTTGATAATAATTCCTTGGGAATTTTTGGAGAATTTTAGTTAATGTGGGAGTTCCTAGGTAATACAGCGAACCCAATTAATAATTTTACGAGGATTTCAGGAATTTGTAAGAATCTATACTTTTATACTTTTTGAAATATTTGAAATGTTAACACTTTCCTTGATTTTTTTCTTCTCAAAATTACTAAAAAAAATTACCGTGTATATTTTTTTCCAGAATTACTTTTCTTTTCTTAACAACTTTGTATCAGACGTTATTTCGATTAGAAGTGACGTTTTAGTCCTACAATTCATTGAAAAATTTAACACACGTCATTTAAAAAAAAAACATATATCCAAAATGGCCAATTAAAAAAAAATGTAAATTATTGTCCAAACAATACAGCGAACCCAATTAAGAATTTAAGAGGATTGCAGATTTAATCAAAGAGCCTTATACAAGGAATTTCTAGGATTTTTTTTCGAGATTTCCGGAACTTTGAATGTGTTTTTTTTTATGATTTCGAACCTACTTTGTCCACTTTGAATTCGGACACTTTATTTAGTCTATAGCAGCGCCTCTGCTGATTGGATTTGAAAAGTTTTGACAGTGATTTGTTTTGAAAGTACACACCAGTGGTGAATGTTTTGTATCGATGGAAGATGTAAATAGCTTTTAAACTGGATTTGCAACTAGAAACTATATAGAGGTACGAAAAACGCTAGATAGGGGAAATGTCTCTAATGTTGGCATATGGATCTAAGATTGGGCCCATCGCTAAAAATCTGCTATTCATCCATTTTATCTAGATGAACGCGTTATTGGGACGTTACTAATCGATATTTTTGGTTGCTATTGAAAATTTAGTCGATTACTGAATTTATGTATGGGCCCAAATTAGGGACACTTAGGCCGACATTACCTGCATTTCCCCTACTTCACTAGTTTTTGGATTTTTTTTTGTTAACCCTTGCACAAGTTTTACAATCCAGCCAACCGCCTTGATTTAAAAACTTCAGTGTATTTTGACCGAAGAAACAAGAAAGGTGATCTGAGGCCGATTATAAGTGACGAACCTGGTAACCGAAATCTTCTCTCGACGATTTTCGTTCTGCTTTACATATTATTGAAATCTCATTATTCATTATGCAATCGAAAGCTATATAGCGATCGTTGAGTGTGCCTTGTTAACCAAAGAGTTAAAATTTAAATCCCCCATTGTGACAAACTAACGATCGCTGGCATCCCTGTTCCTGGCGATCGCCTATAAAATCAAGAGCACTCTCCGGGCCTCCAAACTCGTCCTCACCACCTCCCTCACCAGAAAAGTCAAAGCCAAAGCAGACGATCGCGATGCGCTTCTTCTTATTGACTATATCCATTCGCGAGAGGAGACCGTCCGACAGCGGTACTTTCCGCCTCTCCAGTCACCAGCAACAGCTTTTATTGGGATGGGAAGTTGCTGCTGTCCGTCGTTCCTCTCTTCTGCACTGGTTGGTGCTCACTTTCTCTCTGCATTGTAGCTAGGGAAGGGACTCTCGTCGTTTGGGTGTGTAGAGGGTTTATTTATGTTTACGTTCCGTCCACGGAATGAACCTTCTTAAGTTACTACTTGATTGTAGGTGACTTGTATGCGTGCGAAGTGACTGTCAGGGTTGAAGCCCTGAACCCCAGTGGACTCTGTTATCGGTTTTATTACCCGCTTGCTTTTGTGTGACTGTGACTAACTATGTGTTCTCTGTTTCTCTATTTTCCTTTCCCCCCATATCGCTATCTTGCACCAATTCAAACCAAAAAAAATATATACACCATGCACAGATCCATCGGTAGTGGCAGCACCGTCCATCGTGGCAGATACCACCATCAGTGTACCATCAGAGTCAGCTACTAGTCCTACTCCCAGTGCTAGTAGTAGTATTGATAGTAGTAGTTGTAGTAATAATAACAATAATAATGGTGATTCACCTGCTTCGCCCACCGCAGCTACCACGCCGACGTCGCTGTTTGGTGCCCCGGTGTTCGTAGGTCATTCGCCACCAGCAGCAAATGAACAACCGCAGTCGGCAGTGTTGGTGAAGTCTGCCTTTGTCGGAGGTGCCACCACTACAGCCGCCAGCAGCGCTGCCACTCGAGCAACCGAAGTGCCGTTGCACGCTACTCCTCAGTCACATTCCAATGACGGTCCGGAGAGCACCAGCTGCAGTACTAGCCGATCGTTAAGTCATCTTCATAGCAGTAACAACAGTGGTGCGTCGAGTGGTGGTCCAGTGGGAAAGTATGCCGCCGCCACCTCCGGTAGTGGTATTAGTGCTAGTGTCAGTGTCGATTGTGAGCTAACGCGACCAGCTTCTTCAGGTGAAACCAGCAGCAACAGTTATAGCAGTGAGATTGGTTGTTGGAAATCGAAGAAAAACACTTCAAGTGCTTCGAGCAGCAGCAGCCCCAAAATGGTTGCAGCGAGTGCTGAAGAGATTATTTACGAGAAGAATCCAAGATTTGTGGGACCCGGTGGCGAGGGGACCCCAGTTGACGTGGACCCTTCGGAAGAGTTAAAGTATGGACCGGGAATAGTGTCAAAGTTACGTTGTCGTTATTTGAGCCTTGCACTGAGGCAATCCGCAAACAAGCAGAGGCCTTCGTTGAATAACATGCGTAGGGCTACTAGTTTGAACAATCTGCTGGACGAGGAAGGCGAAGATCTGAGTGAACGGGAACAATCGATCGAAGCCAAGGATCATCACCAGTTGTCGCAGGATAAAGGCTACTTCCAGCAGCAGGGAAAATTCGGACACGTCCAGAGCAACCAGATGAACGCGCAACCACCGAAGGCGAAAACTCCAGACGAGTACATCTCGACGTTCCAGAAGAGCGTGCAGAACAGTTATACGCGAAGTGGCCGACAGACGGAGAAGAAGAACGAGTACAATCGGTACAATAAGCAGCGTGGTGCGGATTCGCTGAAACGGGCCCGATCAGTTGAGGCGCTGGTGCGCTACGATCATAAGGCCTGGGAGCGTGATATACAGAAGGAAAATCTATACAGTAGCAACGATAGCAATGTGATCATACTGGATGAGATTACCTGTACCAACGGGACCAACGGCAACAACACCAACAATTGTCAATCGGTGGCGATGAACAAGGCTGACCTGATAACGGACTGCGTTACGATCGAGGAAAAGATCATCAACGGTCGGGAAAAGGGCGACCCGAAGCCCAAGCGGTTGACCTCGTTCATCGATGCGGATGAGCGTCCTCCGCCGGATGTCGTTCGGCAGACGATGAAAATTTTCGAAGCCAATGCCAATCGTAGGGGACGACCTGTTGCCAGGACTAACGGTGCTGCCGGTGAAGTCGCTGCCAAAGTAGCCAGCTACAAATCGATCATTTCCCACGAGAAACCGCCAATTACCCATCCCAAACCGCCGCTCAGTCCCAAGAAGCCAAATATCATACCGCGTACTACTAGTCCCAAGCCGAACGGCACTCCTGCCCCGGCCAATGCGCCAACCGCCGTTGCCAACGGTCTGAAAGATAAGCCGAACCTTCCCAAGCTTGACATTAACGTGATCCGTAACAATCTGGAAACAACCAACAACCTCAAGAACTCGGCCGCCGCAACAACACCCATTCAAACGCCGCCACCCGCCAATCACAACAATAATATCACCACATCTACACCGCTCTCGGTGCGCGTGGTAGAATCGCAAACGTACCGTCTCAAGTATGACTCACCTGCCTTATCGCCAAACAATACTGCCGCCACAGCCGCCGCCGTCGTCGTTGCTCAACACAAAGTCACTTCTAGTACGACGACAAACCGATCGGAGAGTCCTCGAGCCTGTATGCAAAACAACACAAACAGTACGGCTCTCGCGTTCGTCGATTCACCATCGATTCCGACTCTAGCGAGCAAGCTCAACAATCTAAACATCGTGACCTCTACCCCTACGAGCACCCGCTCGCCCACGCCGCAAGATTTACCGCCGCAGGCGCCGCCTCGTCACATTCCTCTCCAATACGCCACCAGCGATGAGGAAGATCCGGACGATCCAGAAGACCAGCAGCACGAATATTCGATAAACAACAGCGATTGCGACGACGACGACGACGACGACCACGATTATCAATCGGATGACCTTGAACCGGAAGGCGACGACGAGTTCGATTTCCAGGAGGTGAAGAAAGTGTCCCGCTCAGCGATGGACAACATTTCCAAGGCCGGCGTTACGACGCAATTCCGCTTCAACGGTCAATCGTCGCAGCAGAACAAATCCCATCTTCCGGCGCTCACCGGAGGAGCAAAGCTGCTCTCCAACAAGAAACTGAACGTCGACGATCATCACCAGTCGGCTTCGAATTCCTCTTCGTCGTCGTCATCGCCGATCACAGTGCCAGCAGTAGCAGCAGCAGCACCGGTTGTCATCGCTCACAAGCCGCCTGTGCCACTGTCACGTGAAAGTCTCGCGTCCACCAATGGCCTTAAGCCGATTAATAACAACAACAACAACAACAACAGTAATATCGGTAGTGTTACGCATAATCTGAGTAATGTTAGCAATAGCAATGCCAATACTAATAATAGTGTCAGTAGCAACAACGGAAGCAAAGTGGTGATAAATGATTCGGTCGCTCCGGCGCCGCCCAATGTGAGTGTATCAAGTGACGTGTCGTCGAAAACGGTGAATCTAACCGCACGCGAAATCGAGAAGAATCAAATCAATCTGGAAAAGAGCGAAGAATCCCTCAATAATAGTGCCGGTTCGGCTGCTGTCGCCACAGCCGCCGCCGCCTCCGCCGTCGCTAACAGTGCTAGTGTTGTTCTTACGAAAGCCAGCGGTGGTGACGTTGCCACCAGTGGCGGTGACTTCTTCATGGCTAAATGGGGCGGTGCCACCGCCCAAAAGCCGGCCGAAACTGTCGTCGTCAGTAGCCCTCTGGCAGGGCTGGTGCCCACGAAGAAGAAGGTCAAGGCACCGCCGCCGCCCATCGAAGCCAACACGATGGTTTTCAATTTCAGCGACCGGAAAGAGGTACCGGATTATATCGAAAACGACGGAATCATTCTGCGACCGCGGCCACGGGAACTGCCTAAGGTGAGTCAACTATTTTGCTTTTACCCCTTCAACTTAAGCCGGTTATCTTTCGGTGATATCTTTTATTTGTGCATTCCGGCGATAAGAAAATCCAAGCCGTTCGTTCAACGTTTACTGCCATTTTGCATGCACGATGTAATCAATCTTTTACGAGCAAATCTACGGGAAAAATAACGATTGCTCAAATCGCAAACCCGAGCGGCCGAAATTGATTTCCCAAATCGCATGATCAATAAGAACCCGTCCAAAATCAAAGAAAACTGATAAGAACGCCCCAGACAGGCAGTTCACAAATACCTACCTACCTTCATTCAGTCGAAAGTCGATCACCAGACTTGCGAACCTACTTTTTCGCGCAGGTATCTAACCCTAACTTTGTTGGATTAGTCAGAACTGGTTCTTTGCAAAATCCATTAAAAAGGTTGATTCAACCAGCACTCACAAATACGCTCACACACACACGTACACATTTCCGGAATTTGCCTCTCTCACACGCCCATCGTCGGAAGTGTGCTATTATCTTCGTGCTGAGGCTATTAGTCAGTGTTCATGCCGTATGTATGGACGGACGGATGGATCGTGGAGATGCTAATTGATCCATATGTTGTATCCCCACCATCGCTCTCTGTGGCAGGTCATTCTCGCCAATTGCAATTGAGGAACGTTTCTTTTTTTTTTTTTTGGGAAATGCTTCCTTTCGTCTCCCGGTTTTGCCGTTGTTCGGTGCGATGCGGGTCTGCTCTGATGCTGGTGAAGCAATGAGTCAAGCACTTTGACTGGAAGTGATGTGGTAGTTCTTCGGGGGAACTTGGCAATCTAGGAGATTTCCACTTATTAAATTGAGCAGAGAAAACGCATTTTCAGAATGGTTCATTTTGGATTGAAGTAGGGGAATAGCTTTTCCTTCGATTCAAATGCGAATTTGCTCTAGGATGGACGTCATCTGCGGCTTCGTATAATGATCGTCTCTGCACGTGTTCTGAACATCTCATCAAATCATTTTCGTGCTTATTACATGTTTGCACCAACATATAGTCCGAGATATTTCCAAGCTGCTCTGCAAAGATCTGCTGTCTGAAAAAAAAACATCTACAGAGTGTCGACTACCTGTAAAATTAGGGAATCAAGATTCTGGATCATTTGAGTTTCGACGAATTCCGGTTTATAAATATTTTTAATATTCTAAACCAGAAAGATTTGCAAGGTTTCGTACCCATGAATCTTTTTAAAATTTTGAATTTAGTTTTAGTTAAGACTGCAGTCTTAAAACAAAACCAAAGGTTGCGGGTCTTTTCAAATGTATCGGATCTCGGACTTGGAAACAGCTTAATTAAAATCTTGGAACATGGAAAATGAATTCAGCCAGTTTAAAACTGACTTTCAATGCACAATCACGGGCTTTGAAATATTAAAAAGATTCCAGGCAGTAACATCTCAAGCTTGGAGAAATTTTATTGATTTTAGAGCTTGTGAAAAATTTTAATATCCAAAATTAAGAAGAATGTCCTATTTCTTATAATCCTGGGCTTCGAAGTTCTAGACTAAAAAATATTTTCAAGATTTTGATCATTTATGATGTGACTTGTTTTTGGGGTTTTAAAAAATTACTTAACATATAATAAATCGAGATCCCGGATTTAAAAAATCTGGCATAGAAAAGTTAATAATCCTCAGCTTCCAAAACCCAAACAAAAAATTTGAGATGAAGGATTTGAGAAAATTGATCCTGGATTTGTACAAATTTTCAATATTCGCAAGCATTAAAATGTTTAAAATTTTCGAATTTTAAAAACCTTTCACCACTTTGGGATTTTTAGATTTTTAAAGAAGACATTGTAAAATCTTCTTTTTTTTCTCCACTTCGTTTATTTGTTGAGGCTCAAGTGTTTTTAAAACTCTACGGAGCCGATCAATACAGTATTTTTCAAGGAGAAAAAATAGAGGGTCTGTGTTTGAGTTAATTTTCTTCCGGGAGGTGACTTCTTTCCGCTTACTTTGATTTTCCTTTCTTCACTGCATTGTTACTGTTTCCACAGCTCCGTTGCAGCTAAGTACATCGCGTCTTTCCGGTAGTCGAAAGATAAGGCCAATTAGGGAACCACTTGGGCCAAATACTGGCACACTTACCCTATATGTAAAGGAATCGTAAATGATGCTCATAGACTCTATGAATATGTTAGGACATGATTTGATACTAAGGGCGTTGTCCCAGTCGTGGTTGATTTAGTAGATCATTTGATCTCACTTCAAAACTATTTGGAATACCCAAAACGCTCTCAAATGATACGTATCTTCTTCTACCTGTTTCAACGAGCTTTTTTCGGCTCTCAACTTAGTGTTATAGATGCATTTCCACAGTTATTAATTGAGAATATAACCCACCGCCTCCGGCTTGATAATACCGTGCCTTGATTTGGAGAATCTAGAACATCTGATATACATAGAAAGGGATCATACATGATGGAGTATAGATTTAAATGAAGACTGTTTTGCAGCTGGGGACATTGTTCAATACTTGTTGATCCAATAGATCGGATGATAAAATCTCCAGAACGATTTGAAGAACTTGGAACAGCTTATACAGAATGGAAGATGTTCTTAATTGATGCACATAGGCTCCTTGAATACGTTCTGTTTGCTAAGTATGTTGGGCAAGGCCTGGTTGATCAAGTAGATCATATGATCTGAACTGTTGAACGATTTAGAAGACTTCAAACATTGCTTGGACAGGAGAATGGATTTTGAATGATAAATCCGAGGGGAGCTACTCTATGGTGCAGGTGCAGGCAAAATTTTGTCGTTGGGTTAATTCATTTTTTCTCGTTCGAATTCCTTGGGAATGCTACCTGAAATTCCATCATAATTGCTTTAGAATTATCAGATCTACCTTGGAAACCACCTTTTGATTTCCTTACAGTTTTCTTGAAATGCTTCTCAAATTTACCTGGGACTTCTAGTCATGGAATTGTCCTCAAAACTCCTTTGGAGTAGGTGAATGCAGTTCTCCTCATTTTGCATGATCATCTAAATGAAACATTCCAATTTTCAGACTAAAAAAATCTGATTTTTTCTGATTATTTCAATTGAGATGTTTTTCCGTTTTGCTGCCTTTAGCTTAAAATGCTGTAACATTCCTGAAATCCTGGATGCAGTCAACAATGCTGGTATTCCCTTTTTAATTATCTGGAACTTTTAGTCAAATTCATCTTCAATTTTCCTAAAAACTGATTTGGCATTCTCATCAACATTCACTAGACATTTATTCTAAGTTCCAGAATCCGAAAATGTAGTTCGCGGAGATGAACCAGCATCTGGCTGAAAATCTCCTTAATAAAGACAACCAACCAACCAAATGTAGTTCAAGCCCAAGTGTCATGATTCTGATTTATGATTTTTAAATCTGAGATCTTCATTTTAAATTTTCCGAAGGTCAAAATGTCGAAAAAGTCAAGAATGTGAAAAACTGGTCTGATCTTTTGAGGTCTCTATCTGAAAATTTTCTTATGTAATCTTCACTATTTGTTATGTCCTAGATTTCAAATGTTGTTTCGTAGAGTTTTAAACCTGTAGAGGTCGGAAATTTGCACTATGTACTATTTTGGCTTAATCAGTACGGTAAAGTGTGGAAGATGGGTCCCGGGACAAGATTGGTCAGCAAATACATTTATTAATTTATTTGTTTGTCAATATCAACAGTTTTTGCTTTTTCAAACCAGAATTGGAGCTGCATTGAGCCTGTTACACATGAGCATGAACGCCCGAGCTTGCCACTCCGTTATTGCCAGATCAGCTGTAATTGCATAACGAACTGCTTGGGACTAGCCATCTACTTCATCTTCCTCGCATTTCTAACTTATTGCTTATAGCATATTAGCTTATTGCTTGCTCTCAACTTAGTGATCTAGATGCGCTTCCACAGTTATTTATTAAGAGCTATCGGTGCCTGTATCATTTTTGCATTAGTGTAATTATGTGGCAAAATTCCATCCCGAAGACCGTACCGGAACTCGAACCAAGGCAGCTCCAGCTTTCTAGCTGCGACTTTACCGACTGAGCTAACCCCCACTAGCCATCATCCTCAATATGATACTGGTGATTTAAAGAAAGCAATGGGTATGAATATGTTAACGTAATACTTGCTTTTATGAAAGTCGAGAACTCCTCTGCACTTCCACGAGAAATCACTGGGATCAGTAAGCAAAATCGGTCTCCACTAGGCCATCGAGCTTCTTATATCACAAAAAAATTACGACAAAGTTTCCGTTTAACTTGTTGTTACTACAATTCGATCCAACCGGCGACCTCTCAGAATTTCAATACGCTTTATCTCATATTAAGAAAAAAACATATTTCTTATCTAATCTAATCTAGTCTAACACCAAAGCATCCTCGAAAATGATAGATATACCTCCATCTTATTTGGTATATGCGCAAAATATATCAAAACGGCCAGGCCTACTGTGCAGCATTTAAGGAGCAAAATGATTCAGAAACATCGGGCCTGTTTAAATAAAAGATTTAAACACGATGCTCCAGAATCCAATAAATGGATGAAACGTGGACATCTCGTACCTTACATTCCGTTGTTATAAATGATTGGTCGTTGGGAGCATCTAATCTAAAAAAGTTAAATGATGCTCCATTTTCCTCTAGTGGTTGGGACATGAGCACTAGCTTTTGTCTTAGCCTACTAAGTTATTACTAGCCTCTTAGTTATTATGAAACTATTTCAAACATTCTTCAGTCTAATCATGATCACAAAAATGGAACTTTAAGGTACAAAACATCAAACGTCTAAAACCAGAAAAAAAGCACTAAAGGGTGTCCACGATGAAATTGCCACACACAAAATTGATTCGCAAAATTCGAGTTCTCATCCGATTGCCATCAAATTTTCAGGGATTGAGAAATAACTATTAAACTATTTAATATTATATTAAATATTAAAAAATATTAACTATTATCATTTTACCATTTTACTCGTATTTTATTTACAGTCC